GTCTTTTTGCTTAGCTCTTTACTATGATCGTCTTCACTGTCGTCATCCAGATTACGATCTGCAGTACCTATACCAGGCGCGGAGTTAGCGTTCACAGACTTCCGAGGTCGCTGAGTCATTTGTGCTTGAAGTTTGAAGTTTTTTGATGCCTTTGCAACACGAGCCAGTGGAGGTCTAATTGAAATGGTCTCTTGCGGGGTCTTGTTTAACGGCCTCTGCTGACTACTTGTGCGAAACCGTTTTGGCCCAGTGACATTGACTATCGCGGTAACATGTTTCATATTTCGATCCTTGGCTTTTGGAGTATCTGTTTCTCTACTATCTTTAGCATCGCTTCCCTCTCCCGAATTTGCGTTTTCCGCGCCGTCATCCTTTTTCTCAGCCTTCTTCTGTTTGTTGATAAATCTCCCTGGTCCTCGGCGTTTCACTAACCCGCCTCGACCCAGTCGACCAGACTTACGTATAATCTGTCTCACCTCGCCATCTGTATCCAGGTCCGAGTCAGTCTCTGCGATAGAGCCAGCAAAGTGTCGCTCGAGTCTGGTGATGTGAACACCATCTCGAGGTACCGCCGGCTGGGGTTTTCCAGAATCAGCTCGTAGTTTAGAGCAAGAGGTAACTCTTCGGCCGGCTGCAGAAGTCAGGCGTCCGGCGCCAGTAGATCTGTTGCTGGCCGGTGGCTTGGATAAGGGATCACGTCGAATAGTCCGCGATATGTCATCATTGAGGAAGTGGCCAGAATGGGCGGAACAACGGCTAATTGAAAGATTATTCCGATTCTCTTCTTTCTCCAGTCCGTCCCCATTGTCCACGAATGAATGGTGTCGTGCGTGTTTTATCTGGGTGGCCCCTCGCCAATGTTCTCGACTCGATTTTGCACTGCTTCTCTCACTTTCCCCTCCGTCAGCTTCGTCTTTTCTTATTAGATTATTTTCTGTGCGGAAATTATGCTTAAATAGCTGATATATATTGGACTCAGAGTCATAGATTGATCGCTTCATCATTGATGCAGCACTCATCAGATCGTTCCCGTCAACCATGGAAATCTCCTTAACCTGACAGTTCACCATCGATCTTGCAGGATCTAATGATGCCATAGAAAGGCCCACTTGATGGCATTCGGAGCCTTCTTCTCTGCTGCCAGCTCCGCAACGTTTGGACGTGTCGCAGATCGAGAAGTTGGAGCCAGTTGAGGACCGGTTGACTTTTCGCTCTCGTTGTGTTCGTCTTCGGGATTGACGATTTTGACACTTTCGGTCAAGAAGCTTTACCTCCATTCTATGCGTGTGAGACAAATTAATGCGAGTTGACTTTTTGCAAGAGCCCTGTGTAGCCAGTAGACTGGAGCTAGAACTCGCCCCGTGCGAACGCATGGTTACAAGAGAATTGTCATCCTCCTCCATACAGACTTTTTCCTCTTCTTCTCCATCCTCCCGTTTCTCATATGAAAACTTATCGTCTAAAGATTCTTTATTTTCCTCATCGTTTGCGATCATGACTCTATTGCTAATCGTAACGGACAATTTTTGCTTTTTATCAACTTTTCTCAAGATACTCAAACTAGAGGTATCCTTCTTGCCTATATGTGATATAACCTTTGTATTTTCAAGGATTTTGGCTTTTCCAGAGCCCATCTTCATTAGCCCCCTCTTGGCCAGGACTTTAATAGTACAGGAATTCACAGCTTCAGCTTTATCCAGCTTTATCTTCTTAGCTATGTCTGGCATTCCTTTAGCCTCATTCGACTTTGTGGAAGAGGCCCTTCGTTTAGTCGGTCTCCTGTTTGATAAGAAGAATGTACCAGTTCGCGCTTTCCTCACAGGAGCAGACTGAATAGGGATGGTTTGGGAGTCGCACGAAATTCCACAATCTTTGTCGCCAGAATCATCTTCAAGCTTCAGGCTAGTATCGAGGGGGCAGGCGTCGGCACAGTAACCATCAGCCCTGGAACTAGGACCGCAGGTGAGCGCTTGGGAACAACCGTCTGTCTCATGCTCCTGGTGGAGATTAGAATCTGACCTCACCTCTGGCTTAATGGAGCTCGAGGCACCATTGCAACCGGCACCGTCCATATGAATGCTGAAACTGCGATGGCGATTACGCTTGATACCATTAGCGATGCCAGTAACGGTTACCACAACGCTTCCACAACTTTTGCCTCGACAAGTGGTCTCAACAGGGTGCTAAAAAAGGAAAAAGATGAACACCAATTAGAAACCATCTATAGATTTATATTATTGATAAGAAGACAAAATCAACAAATTTATTGGTTTTTCTCTTTAGCAGAGGCTATCTGCGCATACTTATCAAGAAGCCAAATTTTGGCTTTGAAAAAATCTAGTTATGAAGAGCCTGAAGTGAAAAGCACCCAACTTTCGAACAAAAAAACATGTATTTACTCTAGTGGCCTGTTTATAGATAATCAAACAGGAGACCCCGATGGTATGGAGAAGATTGGTAATTATAGGCTTAAGTGGGCTTAAACATGTAGAAAACCAAATGTGACATGTTATGAATAAAAACGAATTTAGGAATATATTCTCGAAATGTATTCAGAAAGTGTTTAAGTCAAATGACAGTCACCTGAGTTAGCACAACAAATGTACATTCCACGTCTTCATGTCAACAATCAAGGCAATAGTAGCCATTTGATCTA